ATATTTTTCTATATTTAAACCGACTAACATCAATCCCTACACATACCATTCTGCACTCTTGGGCATAAATACCTCCTTTTGGCAACATTGGTTTAATTGTAAACAAAGTACAGGTCGCCTTTATAATCCTATTTGGATAAAATTTGGTACAGCTCATTTAGTTGGCCCAAGGCCATATATATAACTTTTAATGCATTGCGTATACAGTATTTTTCGGTTAATTGACCCTACGGTTAATTGGTTTCCACGCTTAATTGAACCACATGATGGGGCAAAAAATATTTCATAGGAAAATACATGTAAATTTTCTCGGATAATTAAACCCTGTTAATTGATTTTCCCGCTTAATTGGTTCAAAATTCATGTCATCAAAAATAAATTTCCTTTTACTTTTCACCGGTTAATTGCTTAATAACAAATGAAAAATAATCTGCCATTTTTTGCATACATATTTGACATAATTTGTGAATAAGACTAAGTGGGACCTCTACTAATTCAAAACATATGTTTATTGCAAAGGAAAAACTGCGAGAAAGCTTAATTTGTATTTGACATTGTAATTGAACAAACTATTCAATTAAGCGGGTTCGGATAATTGGTTCCTCGGTTAATTGAACAAAAATGTGTGCAAATTTTGATGTGCAATTAACCGAAAAATACTGTATATTAAATGTTTCGCACATTAAAAATAATCTGTATTTTAAATCAAATCTTTTATTTTTAATTTTTTTAGTTATTTGGTATTAACCTCAGTATTAACCTCAGATTTATGCAGAGACATAAGAGTGTGGCCTTTGCATTTGATTTTTCAGATACTTTGTTAAATGCATACCGATATATCTCGACTAACCGAGCCCATCTAAACATGTTTGTCAGCCCGTGTGCCCATTATAATTTATTATTGATCATTCGTCATTAGCATGTAGGTTCTGCACAAATATGACACCTATCGGTTAGGGTAATATTTGGGGGATAAAATGGACCAACAAATTTATTTTCGTCTTTTTTCTGGTCCCTCTAGAGATCACAATATGCTCAGGAAATAAGCATAGATTTTCTCATGAATATCGGTCAATATTTGGCTGGTCCAGTGGTCCAAGACTTTTGTGTGAAAAATTAAAAAAATTACTCCGCAAAACGAAGACCGTGAAAGGTTACACTATATCAAAGAAGAGTGGTTGACATTAAAAAACACTTTTACTGGAGGTGAATCATTTTTTTATTAAATTGTAACTGGTTGTGTGGGAGGAACCACAGATGATGGTAGCCGATAATTATCCTAAATTTGCCTTATTCAAATCGGACATTCCATTCACCTAATATTGGGTTTATAAATATTGAAAATTTAGACACTTTGTGAGGACGTACCAGAAGAATTGAACCAACGAGTCCCACATATTACGAAGTGATAGTTTCGATAAATTAAATATTCCATTCGCTTCATATAGATGTTTAAGTTTTCAACATTTTGACCATTTGTGGGGGAGGTACTAGAAAGAGTGGGTCACATCAGCCAAAATTGGACCATTTTCTGTGGATGGTACCAGAAGGTGGATTGGACCGATATTCCCATATTTGAACTTGATTTAGGTTTGGTTGAAATGTTTCAATATACAAAGTTTGGATAAAATCGGATACTCCCTTCGAGAGTTATTGTGCACAACATCTGGCTGGACGGGCGGAAATTTCTAAATCTACTCCAAATTGTCTGAAACGTATTTGGTTCATAGAAACATGGGGAGTAAAACCAATATTATCAAAGTGTATATGCCCTCATCAGTCATAAGACTGAGGGTATAATAACGCTGACAAGCTTTACAAAAATGTGAGCTGTATGTCAGATTCATCAAATGAAAAGAAAAGGGCACACAACCAACCAGATTCTAACTGAATATATTTTTTCACCTAAGGCTATGTTTTACCATACTTTGGATGTAACGAAGTTCTACTATAATGAAGAAATTTGTGTAGTTCGCTATAACCGTACATCTCTTTATTTGTAAAAACGCCACGTCAAAAATTAGACTCGATAAAAATTGGAAAAACTACACTACCAAAATTAGACTTGACAAAAAAAATATGTAAAATTTCACCTCATTTTTTTAAACTAACAACGTTACCTATTATCCGACGGGCGTACAAAAATATTCAACTTCCCCACTATGCAAAATGTAGTGTACGGCCGTATTAACCAAATACGTCGAATCCATATCTTCAAGCGAATAATACAAACCACAAAACAAAATTGAAAATTTATTAAATTAATCCAAGTATTTTATGTTCCCATTCGAAATTTCTTATTTTGTGAATGTTTTGTTTTTATTTGACGTTCCACGTATTTCGGTAACATTCATATAAATACACGTGTTCTACTTTGGTGGTGAAAAACGTCGAACGAGCTAGTTGAATTTTAGGTAGCGCTGTAAGACTTTGCTTTCTCTACCAATGACAGTACTGACAGCAGCCATCGCAGTGTACTTACCTGCTGTTTACAAACAATTTTATGGGTAGACAATAGCAAAGATATAAACCATTTAAACCAATACATTTATATATTTGTCAAATGTCTAGTGACCAGAGATGGCCTGTCAGAAACAGTGACGTAAATGACATACATTTCCGACGTATAATACATACGTCAGAAACGTCGGAAACCTACCCAAATCCATTAGGTTTTTGACAAAATAGCTATTTCCATTAATCAATTTGGAAGTTACGCATGCTTTACTCAAATTAATATATAATTTCAAAATTTTCTTCTCAAAAAAATTTAAAAAATTTTATCATTTCTAGTAAGGAATAGTCAGAAATATGTAAAAATAATATATATTCTTGAAAATAACTGTACCCGCTGATAATATTGAAATAAATGACGTTTACTACATTTATTACATTTTATACAGGTATATGACGTTTTCGACGTTTACACCCTTTTGACAGTCGAAAACCTAAAAATTCGTCACACGGACCATACCAAAAGAATAAAAAATATTTTAACTATAAATAGGAGGGCCGGAATGAATTGAATATGAAATAAATTGAAAAATACATAATTCTATTGTAATAATTAATAATTAATATTTTCATTCATAACTTCAGAATTATTTTTCAAATTGGTCGCCCTCGTCACAAAGACAATTTTAAATTTGTTGACAATGCATGAACTCAAGTATGTTCCACTGTCCCTATTGTCGCAAGCTAAACAAATATGGTATGCAAGGAGTTAAGGTTACACAATTTAGAACAAAGTCAAACTTAACACACAAAAAACACATTCAATTGGTCAGCACCTGTATATTAAAAATCTTATAAACACCCTGACCACACCCCTTCGCAATTCTCTACGATTTTATTTAATCGCTGCATTATTATCTGGTTTTATTTGGCACTTGTCAGATTTAGTAAAACCAGTTTTTCGTAGTGCAATAAAAATCTGATTTTCATTGCAGTGTATTTGTGTAGACTCGAATGTCCATTTGAAAAGCTCTGAAATACCAAGCTTTTCAAAAGAAAAACTAATTAAAACTTGTTCCATACTATACGTATATTACTCTTAATTTATGTGCATGTGTGAAAAATTTAATACGTAGTAATGTGTGTGTGTATATATATGATTGTATTGTAATTAAGAAAAACTAAATAAACAAAATTTTATTGATAACAGATAACACTGTACAACACCAAGTTTAGAACAGTATGAGCATTAGTCTTTAGTTATATGTTTTATGATTTATCCCTATTGGATAACCGCCAATATTTATAATTAGGCTTACGACCAAATTATATTTTAATTAGGCCCTACCGATAATACAGTGCCTATTACGAATCAAAAACAGTTGCAAAAGACAAACTAAAGAATCAAAAGTACCAACAGATTTGTAGATCATCTGTGTTCTTGGATACATTTTACAGATATTCGTTTACATTTAGCAATGTTGAGTCTATTTGTCGAATACGGATCCGAACTCTCGAATTTTTCATCCAAACATTTATTAAAACTCATATACTATGACTGAATAAAATATTTTTTGTGTTAACCATTCCTTCACCCATAATATGATTAATCGTGACCGATAATTTTTTTACGATGAACGGTCTATATTTAGAGGATCTAATTGATCACAATTTTTGTAGGAAACATGGCAACATTCAACATTATGTGACATAGTTTCTCTACGGGAAGACAATATCTGAATGTCAGAGATATACAAATATATACAGACTATGAGCATTCCGAATATTATTTAGGCCGAAAATATGTAACAATATCATGAAATTTGGCCTAGAATTGCAGCAAGGAAATCAAGTTAAACTTGTCGATAAGTTAATTTTTAGTAATCATATTGAGTTAAACTATTTGTTGGAAATAATAAAAATATTCAGAACCAGAAGCTTCTATTAATATAAAATGTTCTCGATTTTTTCCTTTATATATTTGAAATTTATTGAGTTTTATGAATGATTGTGCGACTTTAGCATTCGCTTAGTCCTGATTTACATTAAGCAATGTTGCCTCAATTCTATATTTTGTAGGTGAGAGATTTGAGGGGAATGTCAACCCTTGCCTAATGTAATGTTGGAATTACCGGTTACAAATAGTCCTTAAAAAACAAATTGGATTTGAAAAATATTTTTGTTTTTTAATTTTCTATAAACAAATGTTGTCAACATTGGAAACCCGATCTGAGCAATATTAGGTTTAAATAATTTGGCATTTGTATTGCCTCACAGTGTATTTAGTAAAAAAAGAGCCGTTCATCCGAAGAGAAAACGTCAAGTGCTTTTATCATAAAATCAAAAATACACGATCTCTACCAAAGAGAACATAACAATTTAGAAATCTACATTCTAGAATAAATACTCTTTCTTGGAATTCACAATAATCATACGCACATACATATCGATAATTTCATTGTTTATATTTATATTTGTGTTTGTTTTATTCCTTTTTTATTTTCTTGTATTGGACTGCTTTATGCACAGTCAGTTGTAACACTTACCACCACCATTCGCCTGCATCGAACGGGCCTCCACTGTGGCATCCATGTATTGGTAAATTGTCACGGGTCCTTGGTATTGGGTCATTGGCCCGATCACGACATCACTTGAATTCGACAAATTAACCACACTCGAAGGCTGTACACTGGGGTTGCTGAAAATGCTCTGCGGAATAGAGGTTGGAAGAGATGCGGCATTCGAACTTTGATGCGACCCGGGGCGGCCCGTTAAATTCCACAGCGCATTATTGGCTGGGTTTGGATCGGAAGTGTTTCTTTGTTCGTACATATTTAAATATTCAAAAGTTGTTTATTTTTGGTTTTTTTGGTTAACCACTCTCTCAAACCACAACCATGCAAACACTCAGTGGTATCCGTTTGTAAATATACAACGATGTATTTACACAATTATTAATAATTATTTTTTTATTTAAATGTTTTTTTTTTTTTTGTTAACAATACGCTCAAGTTGCATTCAACAATTTCAGTCGTATCTCCGAAGAGGAGGACGACCAAGATCTTCAACCTTCCCGAAAGCGATCACAATTTCTACTGAGAGTTGCATTTTTGCATTTCAGCCGAGTGTGCGTTTCAAGTTTAGTACGAGTCGAGTTGAAACGATCAACCGATCGACAGACCGGCCATTGAGCAGCAGTGTAGAGTCAGCTTCATATCTGCCCGTACTCAACACGATAATATTTCTGTTCAATTTTATTTGAAGTGACACTACGCTGCGGCAATTGATACTGGTTAGTATTTTGCCACCTTTAGGCTCATGACATAACGACTGTGGCGAGAGTGTACTAACAAGTATACGCATATATAGTATGCACAATGTGCATGTCACATATACATACATATTTTGTCGATTGATAATAGAGAAAATGCCTACTCCTTGTTGTATATATACTTGTGTGCTTTAAATTGGGAAAATACTGAAAATTGGCTGCTCTATGCCGATTTCAACAGACAGACATGACTACATCATTGTAGAATTTAGATCAATATTACACTTTCTGAGGTATCCAACGAATATTTCGAATTGTTGCAAACGGAATAACAATTTTAACCTTTCAGACTGTTTCAATATTTCTAAAAACACATCAGAAACATTTTGTAATGTATTTGGGTCTTAAAGAGTTACAATTTAATTAAATTGACACCAGTTTGATATTCAGGCAAAGGCTTTTTGTTGATTCATGCAGCGAGTCGTTGGATTCTTGAAAAATGGATGTAGAGATTTAACAACATTTTCAAGCAAGTGCAAATATGAATAACTAACTAATTCTGAGCATTCTAGAGTAATACTAAAATATAGCAAGCATTGATTTTTGCATTCTACAGGGTTATTCAGTTCGTGGATTCGAAAGTATGGGACTGCAATTCGACATCTTTCAAACCAATTTTTTCAGTTGAAAGTAAAAAGTGGACGAATATTAATATGTTTCGGTAGGATATATTTCGTTTGAAAAACAAGCCAATTATTCCAAAATACCGAAATAATTACTCACAATACCAAATTACAGCCAATTCTGGTTAAAAACGTACAAATACAAATCCCCAAAATGAGAATATTTGGGGGTAACGTTATATATGGGCTATCTTAAAAAGTTGACCAATATTGATAAGTTTAGGTAGGAAGATAAGCCGCTCAATGAAAACTCAATATACCAAATTACAGAAAAACGTGTCAAAAGTCCCAAAATACGGAAAATTTGGGGATTGCGTTATATGGGGGATCCACCGTGGACCACCGTGGACCTACTAAACATCCTCGTAGTAATAGCAATATATGTGCAAAATTTCAAATGTCTATCTTCATTATTTCGAACAGACGGACGTACATTTATAAATCGACAAGATTGATCAAGAATATATATCTTTTATGAGGTCTCCGGTGAATATTTCGAGGTTTCCACCTCCATGTTTAATGAGGAATCTTATTTTAATTATAATAGTATTTGTGGATGACCGGTATTCGTCGCGGGATTAAAGAATTTTGTTTCAATGTGATCTGTTCATCGAATAACTTGGTAGCGCCTTAAGTTCTTTTCTGTCTGAGATTGATTGGTTTACTGCTTATCCACATGTTTGGATCTACGTTCCCTTACCTATTTAAGTTTAGTGTTCCATATTACCACTCATATTGTTTCATTTCAAAACAACATTATAATATTACGTTGAGGAAAAAGAAATCCATTATTTTATATGAACAATAGGACCTTATTTAACATGATTCGGAATGTCCGATTTGGGCTATATATGCACCGTTTGTTTGTATGATTTGTTGCCATTTTAAAGGTAACATCATAATGCCACTCTCATAGATGTTCTGCTCTCCATTTGCAAAAAAACTCTTGCAGTCTATTTTCAAAATCCTTCCTAGATATTAATTTTTATACCTTTCACCACACTGTGGTACATATATATATATATATATATAACCGATTTAATGTAAACGGTCCCTATATATCTTTCGATTTTCACAAAATTTGGTACAGCCTAATCATTTAGGTCTAGAGTGATGTCTGCCAAGTTTCGTGAAAATCGGTCCAGATTTAGATATAGCTCCCATATATAGTTTCTTCCGATTTCATTTGCACGAAATTTGGCATAACGTATTGAATTGAGCCTAGAGTGATGTATTCGTTGTTTAGTGAAAATCGGTCCAAATTTATATATAGCTCCCTTTTATTATCGATTGATTTTAAGTAAGGAACAAAACGTTTTGAAATTAATATAACCTAATCTGTGACAAGTTTGTTTGAAATCGCTTAATATTTGGATAGAGCTTCCATATATATTTTCGCCCGATTTCAAGTAAATTGGGCATCAAACACCTCATGTTAGTCAGATTGACATACAATTTTGCACAACGTACAAAATTGAGCATAGAATTACGTAGTTGCGTTTTCTAGAAGTACAGACATAGCCCAACGGATGACCTATTTATATTTGTTTGAAGTCGATTTACATACTTTATGGATAGATGTAGGTAGATTCACATTTAGATAAATATCACATATTTTATTTCATCCAATTTCATGTTAATAGTCCTGCTTAACATACCCATAGTGGTGAAGGGTATCATATAGTCGGCTCCGTCCGACTTTACTACTATCCTTGCTGGTTTATTATTAAAGAAATTTGGCAATGCAAGAAAAAGATGATAATCGCTTGGTGCCAAGTCCGGACTGTATGGCGGATGCATTAAAACTTCCCAACCAAGCTCCCGAAGTTTCTGGCGAGTCACTGTAGATGTGTGTGGCCTAGCGTTGTCCTGGTGGAACACGACAACTCTCCTGTTGGCCAATTCTGGCCGTTTCTGGTCAATTGTTATCTTCAAACGGTCCAGTTGTTGACAGTAGAGATCAGAATTTAGCGTTTGGTCATATGGAAGCAACTCTTAATAAATTATCCCCTCCAGTCCCACCAAATGCGTAGCAGAACCTTCCTGGCCGTTAGTCCGGACTGTATGGCGGGTTGTACGCTAGGGTTGTCCTGGTGGTACACGATTGCTTTCTTCAAACGGTCCAGTTGTTGACAGTAGAGATCAGAAATTAGAGTTTGGCCATATGGACGCAGCTCATAATAAATAATCCCCTTCCAGTCTCACCAAATGCCTAGCAGGTTTGAGGTGCTTCACCGCTCTTTGACCACGATCGTTTTGCACATAGTTATAGTATGTGATCGATTTCTCATCTACAGCCACCATCCGTTTAAGAAATGGGTCTATCTCATCCCATTCGGTCAATGCTTCGCAGATGGAAATTCGATCCACCCTATTTTTATTGGTGTGGTACCCAAACATCGAACTTCCAGGTTTGTGTAAATGGTTTAAAACAGTTTTATGGTCGACTTCGATCATTTCTCCGTTTTTTTTTTGACATTTTCATAATGGGTTTCTTTTCACCCAACCTAATATTTTTATTCAGGGGCATTTTAATGTATTATATGTTGTATTATTATATGTTTCATTGAATTCACGGAGTTTTATTATATTTAACAATTAGTTCAATGGTTTGTATCAATTCATGTCAAAGCAATTCGGCTTAAACTTTAATTATAATTTTAAGCAATGCAAATAAATATTTAAAGAAATTTACGTTGATTCAATAACATAAACGTCAATTTTAAATCTCTTCTTTCTTTTTAGGAAATGAATGCTGAAGACGGCTGTTGGTGTTTGATATTGACTCTTCCCAATATTTAAAGTGCGTAGGTATATGTATTGCGTATTAGCGTAATAATTATTTTCCGGATTACCAGATTTAATGAATACATTTTCTTTTCACCTAACCCAGAGATGAGCTCATATCGCAGTCCTATACCTGCACCTTAACCACCAGGTAAGTAAAACTCAATCTAAATCGCCTTTGTTTATCCCTTTCTTCTTCTTTCTTTTCTTTTTATTTAAGAAAAACACGGAATTTAACTATGAGTCTGGTCATCCGTCCGTCTATCAGGAGTTTCAGCGTACCAAAGTCTATTGGGAAATATACCAGAGCATGCCGGACTGGCTATGTATTAATTCAGCGCCTCTCACATAGGACTTGGAAAGGGATGAGTGTGACTCCCGTTTTGTTCGTGTATACACAGAAAAAAATCATTGTAAAATCAATTAAAATCAATTAAAATCATGTGGATTCAACATTTTTTCCTAACGATATTGCTTCATTATCGTTTCACGTTGATTCAACATGATTTTACAGTAAAATTAAAATAACATTTTTTCTCGTAAAAATAACACGAAACATATTAAAATAACATGGAGACATGTTGAAATGATCAGGGATGGTCCGTATGACGAATTTTTAGGTTTTCGACTGTCAAAATGGTGTAAACGTCGAAAACGTCATATACCTGTATGAAATGTAGTAAATGTAGAAAACGTCATTTATTCGAATATTATTACCATATGCCGTTATTTTCAAAAATACATATTATTTTTACACATATCTGTCTGTTCCTTACTAGAACTAATACAAAATTCTAAACTTTTTGGAGAAAAATTTTTTGAAATTTTATATGAATTTAAGTAAAGCATACGTAATTTCCAAATTCATTAATGGAAATAGGTATTTTGTCAAAAACCTAATGGTTTTGAGTGGGTTTCCGATGTAATATACGTATGTAATATACGTCGAAAATGTATGTCATTTACGTCACTGTTTCTGACGGACCATCTCTGGAAATGATATGAATACCCCCAAAAACCCCACTTGGAATTTCATGTTGAAATAACATTTGTTCATGTTGAAATGTTATGTATATTTTGGTTATTTAATTATTATTTTCTTTTGCAAGATTCAACAGCCTGTTTATGTATTACGAAAGAAAGGTTTCTTTCGCTTTCAATGCGAATAAAAATCCATTTTGGTTCATATAAAAACTTTTTACAGGCAAAATGAGTCGAACGATAAACAACTCGAAAGAAAACGTAAACGTATATTTTTTCTTTACAAATCCTTTATATTCTTTGAATATTTTCCCCAATGAAATGAAATTTGGAATGCATATTTTTATTTTTATAAAGTACTAATAACAATAATATTTTTAAATAAATTATAATATCGATTTCTTCTGCAGTTCGTTCGTTGTAACGAAATTTTCCATTTAACGATGAGGGCTGACATTATATAAAGCGTAATATCGAGAGTCTACTGTATCTGTAGCTATCTTGGTTGTGTAGTTGTACGCCATCTATGGGGAAATTCAACCACGAAATAATTTCAATACCAGTATTTTTGGCTTATTTCTCATACAGTTTGTAAGAGCAAGGACAGCAACCGACATCAACATATTACTAGGCATAGATGGCACTGTCCGAAATTGAAGTATTTTTATAACGAATTTGTTATCGTAACTGCTCACATATAGATGTCATTATTAGTACGTTGCTACAAACCCATATTTTTCCAATTCGATTTCATTTACAAAGTCCTTCATCGTTTAACTTCGAAATAATGGACAACCAAAAATTCGAACACTGACTAATCACTTCTTTCCTGTTATAAAAGAAAAAGAAAATAAACTAAATACAAATTATTGAAGTACGCTTGGGAAGAACGTGGTTAAGACCGACAATATGACGATTCACCAATGACGATTAAAATGCCGAAAATGAAACTGTCACGTGATAAAAGAAATATATTAACATTTCTGCTGAGGTAGAATTCAGACAGACGAACAAATTATTAATCTACAATATGACGATAGATTGTCAAAATTAGATGTCATTTGATCCGAATGAGATGACATTTGGTACAGTTCAGTTATTTGGCCCATGGACGAATCCTATTAAAATCGGTTCACACATAAATATACTTAGCTCTGAATTGAGAATAGAATGACGTGCCATATAGTAGCGGTGTATTTGTGCATTTGTTGTGTAAAGATACCCTACCTTTGTTCCTTGCACCATGATTCCAATTATCAAAATTTGTAACACGACATGTCCGGCACCTGTCACCAACCCCAACCCAATAAAAGTTACAAACATCGTTTTGAAAGCTCAATAAGAATTTTATTTACAAAATGTTCTCTTGTTAATTCCTTGTAACTAGATTCTGTGTTCTAATGCATTTACATAATTCATGTATGCATGTATGTGAGTGTATATGAATGTAAGTATGTATAAAGATATTATAAATACGCTATTATATATTATTCTTCAACTAGAAGTCGTCTTAACTCCAATATTGGGAATAGGTATTGTTTGAATGCTTGTGGGCCTGTAAATATAATTTGACCTCGTATTCATTCAGTTCAAAATTGCTTTCTTCTTTCCGCGTGTACTCGATCGATATATTTCGATTTTACATTTTTCCAAATGAAAACTATTAACAAAATAATCGAATAACAATATTTGCTAGACTAAATAAACTTAAATGTGAATGCGATTGCGATTGCGATAGTGGACGCAGTTGGGTGTGTGTGTGTGTGTGTGTGTATGTGTGCATTTGAATACATGTAACAAATTTGACTAGAAAATAAACTGTAGACCCAGTGGAGTCAACAAACATTTCAACAATGCAGTTTAAATATTTTAACAAAATACATTTTAAGCAAATATAACGGTTCGATTTAGTTTAAAACATAACAGTTGCATTAATTCTGAAACAGTAATCGCTGTTTAATTTCGAATTCATTTAATGATTAAAAAAAACAAAAATTCTTTTTAATCCAAATATTTATCTACCTCCGTCTACCAATCAGGATGTCAGGTAGATATGAAAATTTAGATTGACCTATTTTGGTATTTGTGAGTGCACAAATACATTGCTAAGTACTCTGTTCGCTGACAAAATTATAAAGTAATAACAACAAAACTAAACGTACTCAAAAATAACAGTTTTGGTAGACTTGAGTCAATCGTACATGACTACTACGATCGCCCATATGCAGATGTTTACACTGGGGAACATCAAATCGTATAGGTATTTGAGTTTCCAATATTCGTATGTGAGGACTCTTATTCTCAATCGAAGATACACGCAAACACTGCCAAACAGTTCAGTCCGAAATTCTCCCAGCATCCCTCTTCGGTGGCACCCTTTTCAGCACGTCTCATTTTCTTTGGATAATTTTTTGGATTACTGCGATCGCTCAGATGTATCGGCATTTTGGCAAACTCCGGTCGTGCCGTTCGAAATTTCTCCAATAATTGACTTTGTTCGGGTGTTAAATTCTTAAGTTTTTTACCTGAAATTATTAGAAGTGTTTTTTTAATCATGCAGATACGAACGTTCAACAACACAGATAAGTCGGTGTTGTTGACAGAATTATACCCCCAGCCTATGGTGCGGAGGTCTTTAGAATTAAAATTCATTTTATACGGTATATGTTTTTGTCAAAGAGGTTTCGGATTTAATGTTGATCAAATCGATTATTTAATTTGCGTCAAATTAAAATTACAAGTTTATAAAATTTTCCCATCTCCGGACTTGATCTGGTCTTGGTAAAGATAATAAGGTGTACAAAGTTTGGTTCAACTAGAAAATTCTTTTTGCTTATATTGGATTTATAAATATTGAAAATGTTGACCCTTTAGGGGAGGAGAAGACAACAACCAATGGGTCCCATCTTCGAAATTGATCTGATATGTATTGTTAAAGACAACAGGTTGTGCAAAGTTTGGTGCGAAGCGGACATTCCATTCACATAACATTGGAATTATAAATATTGAAAATAATGAAAATGTATGGAAGAAGTGGACGTATTGGTCACATCTTCGGATTTGATTTGGTCTTGGTTAAGGTAATAGGTTGTACAGACAATAGGTTGCCTAATATTCCATTTGTGGGGTGGTACCAGAAGGAGTGGACCGATGTTCCACATCTTCGAACTTGAACTAAGATTGTGTTCAAATCAAATTAAATCGGTTACTTCCTTCGAGAGTTATAGCGCACCAGCTGGTCAGGCAAACAGAGGGGCATTTGTAAAATGACTCCAAATTGTCTGAAACGGATTTGGTCCAAAGAAACATGGGTCTAAAACCATATTTTTGTGTAATAATGAGGATATACCCTCATTAGCCATACGACTGTGGGTATAATCAACATCATTTGTAGCTATTGTGAAAAATGTCAACATACCTTCAATGGCATCACTAACTAACGACGTCTCTACGGGATTCAACAGTTCCACGCGGTCACATGCTTTACGAAATTCCGCTGCCGTCATTAAACAATAACGTGGCGTCAGACAGAGCGGCCCCAGGACACGACGACGATTTTCAGCTGTCGCATCCATCTTTTTGCGATTGCACTCCGCTATACTCCAATCTGCCAGGCAGGTGAATAGTGTCAGTTCTGAGCTAAGTTGTAGGGCTTCACGTTTCGCAATCATCTCCAATTCCTCGAATCGTAATTCAGTCATTTCCGGTTTGCTGAGAATCAGTTCGGCATGCATGTCGATCAATTGCAGGGCATTGTGAAGCAAGGCAACACCGTAGTCTTCCGTTGTAAAGGGATTCGGATTTGGGGCGGGTATTTGCGCTGAGTTTGTGCTCGGAGCGGTATTGGGATTGGCACTTGTTGAATTCAGAACAGCCTGTTGGTGGGCTTTGCGTTTGCTTTTCTTCGAGGCCAACTCTTGGGTCGTTATCACAGAGCCGATCTGATGCGGATTGGTCGGTGTGATGCCCTGGTAGAACCACAAAGCTCTAAACACATCGATCACAGTTGCACTGCTCAGTTGCAGGTCCAATTCACGAATGCAGTGTATAATCTAAGCACGTCGGGAAGTGGGAAGGCATTGAAAGCAAAAGACATAAAAGAGCCAGAGAGAAACGAAAATAGAGAAATGAAATAAATCGCAAGGGGAAATATGTAGAAAATTTCATCATTTGAAATGGAACATACCAAATCGGGACAATTGTATCGATCAGCCAATTCAAGGATTTTCAATATATGCAAATGATCACGATATTTGACAAATTTTGTTTCCAAAAATCGTATGACAAGTTCGAAATCATGTTTATCTACATTTGAGATCTGAAAATGATTATCACCTTTGCGTCCGCTGTTCGGGCCGGCATGGATCAATTTGGCCAATTCTACGCTATTTTCCAATACGGCTTTGCGTTCGCACCGTATCATATAGCGGTCGTCGCCATTGACGATAATGAAGTCAATGTAGGGGCATGGAATTATGGGGACACCGGTCGACACATTTGTGTGTGCCCTCATGAAATAAGGTGGCGCCGTGGGTGCATAGGCCACTGTTCGGTTTGTATTGCTATTTGCAGGATTGCTGCTGCTATCACCACCACCACCACTCGTGCCCGCCTTGTTCGTCGACCCGTCAGGATTGTGGTGGCCATCCGAACTTAGACCAAATGGTAAAACCATTTTCTAGTCTTTGGATCTTTTGTGGACTGAGTTTAATGAACGCCGACACTCAGACGCTGAAGTCTTTGTGGAAATTGCTTTCTGGTGTACGGTAACCGATTCAGGAATGTGTCGTCATCGAAGGCAGTGTTAATCGTTGGAATCGTCTGTAAACGTGAAAAAGAAAGAGTATTTTTATCAATGCAGTTAAAGTAAATTAAATGCTGGAAATTTGGAAACAATAGATTGTTTTAGATAGACCTCTAAAATACCATTTGAACAATCCACTGCAATGAGAATATTGAATTCTACATTTGAGGCACGCGAGTGAATTGCACGCTTCGCTTAAATTCCCACCAAATGTGGTGCATGCAGAATTCCGCTGCTTCGAAATATATTTGTGCACGATAGTCGGCAATCCTTCAGTAGCCAACAAATCGTGAATAGGCATAACAATGTAATCGTTGCGTAACAGTTTACAATTCGAATATTAGTTGACCGCTGCAGAATTGTTGGCCTTAACTTTGCCACCTAACTACAATAAATATTCAACATTGAAAAAATATATGTACATAAGTATATACTTATGTACATATATACATATATTGTCTTTTATAATGGTAAACCAAATCATAGAAATTTATTTTATTACCCCCGAAATGAAATTTTTTTTATTTATTTTCGTCTACAGGAATTCTTAGCAGAATAATCATAAATTCCAATTCGAAGACGATAAAATCAAGGATATTTAGTTACGTATTGCAAATTGATCGATTTTGGACTATAGATTTTGAAACACGATAATGGACAGATTCGAATACGTTCCATGTAACATAATCTCTCTTATTTTGAGATAGCATAATTTCCTAAGAAATTCTCAACTTTTTTAGAGAGAGTGCAAGGGTATCTATATTTCATCGGTGCCCAAAGTAGGCTGTAGGCCTTTTGTACGAAATGTACCAAATATGGTACACTTTGTATTAGGCGAACGCGAAGAGCTAGGATTCTGAAATTTGGAATGTGGGTCACTGATGGAATGTTAGAAAGCTGTACAAAAGGGTTTTTGGAAATTCGACCTATAAGTGTACTAAAAGTACTAAACATTACTAAATTTAGTTCTAATTGTATATGTATTGAACATATATAGCTAGAATCTTGAAATTTTTATATAGAATACAGGTTGGGAAGTGGAAGTGGAAATAGTTTATGAAATTAGTTCATATTTATATAAAGAGTAGGGGAGACTGGGGCACCTTCGGCAATCGCGTTTTCGATATGAAGTTCTCACCGTACTTCACTAGTTTCGATACATAGGTATCGAATATCGAAATAAATAACTGACACAAAGTTTGAAATTTTTAGCTAATAAGCTTATTTAGATACATAGGTTTTTGTATTTTTATAGATGTTTCTGTAATATTTCAATTCCATTTCGTAAGTATTTCGTGTATAAAACTTTTAAAATTTTTAAGACAATATTATTAAAAAGTGGATAACTACGATGTGTATTATTATAAAAATATTTAAAAATATAATCTTTTTACAAATCTGATCGAAAAAAATGAAAAAAACTATAAAAAGTACATTCGGGGTACATTCGGCATTTCAAAGTGGGGCACATTCGGCCATATACAGATTGTGCAATATTATTTCCGTAAAAGGTTTTTGAGTTTGTTTTTAAAACTAATCCTTTAATATGGTTCGAAATTGCATATATAAGATCAAACGTGCTTGTATTGACGAAAATGCGATAGAAAACCCCTATTTCTGATGGTGTGTGCGACCTTGAGATGTAAACGTCCGCCGCTCGAAAATAAAGCCATATAATTCAAACATTGTGTGGCGTATTAAAACCTAATAGAGCCTTTAGAGGATCAGAATTTCAACCAGACTGATAGCGATGACAATTACCCGGCTATGACTATGGTGCCGAATGTGCCCCATCAAATTCCAAAGCTACCCCGGGTTGGCGCACATTCGGCGAATTTGACTTTTTTGGATATTGGGAGAACGGATAAAGCTGTAAATCTGAAATTTGGAATTAAGATTGCTGTTGAAAATTGAGGTATAGAGACATCTTTGGAAATTCGTATTTATGTGTACGAAAAGTACTAAACGGTAATAAATTTGGTGCAATTTGGATTTAGGTGAACGGAGAGAGCTGGAACCCTAAAATTTTGAATAATGGTTACTGTTGGAATATAAAATTGAGATATGGAAGCATAGTACTTGTGTGTACTAAATGGTACTAAATTTGGTACAAATTGACTATGTGTGAACGGATAGAGCTGGACTCCAGAATTTTTGAATTAAAATTACTGTTGGAGTGTAGGATTCAAACAGTTTAGGAAATTCTTAATCATAGGAACAAAAAGTACTAAATGGTACCAAATAGTTTACAAATTGTTTTTGTGTGAACAGATAGGCCTGAGATTCTGAAATTTTGAATTAATATTATAGTTGGAGAGCAGGATTGGGATAGATCGGTAGTTTTGAAAATTCGTCATTATGTGAACGGATAGAGATGGAAAACTTAAATTTGGAATGAAAATTACAGGGTTATGGTATTATTGTAATTTTATACTTATGGATACGAGAAGCACTAAATGGTACTAAATATGGTGCAATTCGTTTTGTGTGAGTCCTAAAAGTTGGAATTAAAATAAACGTTGGAGTGTAGGATGCTAAAAATATGCGAAAATATGTGTACTAAATGGTATTAAGTTTAGTACAATTTAGATTTGAGTGAAAGTATGGAGATGGAAAACTTATATCTGAAAATAAAATTAAGCACAGTATATAGTATATGGAAATTCGAACTTATAAGTACGAAAAGTACTAAATGGTACTAAATATAGTACAATATGGATCTATGTGAATGGATAGGGCTAGGATCCTGAAATTTATGTTTGAAATTACTGTTGCAGTGTGGAATTGGATTTGGATGTTGGTGAACGGATAGATCTGGAATCTTTAAATGTGGACTTAAGGTTATTATTGGAGAGCATGACTGAGGTAGTTTTGGAAATTTGTACTTATGGGTACGAACAGCACAAAATTTAGTACAATTTGGACTTTGGTGAACGGGTAGAACTCGAATCCAGAAAGATGCAACATAGGTTACTGTGGGAGTGTAGGAACAGTACAGAATGGTACCAAATCTGGTACAATTTAGTGAACAGACGGACAGAGCTGGAATTCTTAAATTTGGACTTGGGCTTACTATTTGAAATTTGTACGAAAAGTACTAAATTTGGCACAATTTGGACATTGGTGGAATTAAAATTACTGTTAAAGTGTAGGATTGATGTAGTTTTAGAAATTCTTACTTTTAAGTATGAAAAGTACTAAAATTAGAACAAATTGGATTTGGATGAATCCTGAGATATGGAATTTAGATTACTGTTGATGTGTAGTATTGAGCTATTTAGAAAACTACGAATAGTAAATAGAATAGAAAATGCACTAAATTTGGATTTTGGTAACGGAGAGTGCTGGAAACGTAAAATTTAGAATGTGGGTAACTGACGGATAGTTAGAAAGAAGTACCAAAGGGTTTTTGTTACTAACTGGCACTAAATTTAGTGGTGGTGATGGTATGGAGGTAGTTTTGAAAATGTAAATGTGGAACCTGTATGTATTTGCTAAAATATATAATTGGAATTCTGATCTATTTTTAATCTGTCTAATGGAAATAAGAAAGAGATTTCGGAAAATAGTACTTATGTGTATGAAGAGTACTAAATGGTAATAAACTTTATATTAGATGTAGGAATAGAGATGGAATTCAGAACAATAGTACAACATATATATTTTTTTGTATTCCCTTTCGCATACGAATTAGCGGGCACTTTGCTAGTACAATTATAAAAGAGAAACATTAGAAAATAGAAAATATTTTTTTTTAAATTCTCATTCATTCCTTTTTGTTTTCATACACTAACTGGAAAAATGGAGATATTTTTGGCAAACATTGGTTTGCAACAAGTCGAAATATGTGACCAATGGCGGGATGTCAAAACAGAAAAAATATATGTTTATTTGTATTGAATATGACATTGTTTTCTTCCTTAAAATTGGAAAATAATATTTTTACAAAATTTTTACTCTGTATAGAAACAGAACATTTTTTATAACAAACAGAACATTTTATTACTTGGTATGCGTAACGACAAACTAACGATAGCCTTCGAAGTACTTGAAAGCTTTTTCATTCGAAAGCGAGTGACTGATTTTCGTCCAAAATAGAAAAAAACGGGCTGTAAATATTATTAATATGTTAAAGTATTTAAATCTGGATTTTATTATTTATACCACGGTATTAATTAGTAGAAAATCATTTTATGAGCTTCATATGGTGTGAAGTAGTAGCGTATAACAAAATACGTCATTTCGGATATTAGAAAATAATCATAAAAAAGAAGTGTTTGCGGAACACGGGTGATAAATTCATAAAAGAGGAGCGAGGTTACCATGTGATATGCTACTCGTATTTGAAAATATTAATGCAAATAATTTTTGTCACTTTTCCATGTTCAAACTGCCGATAAATTTCCTTCGCAATTTGTTTATTTTGTTCTAAAACATACGGTCTGTTCCCGTAGAAAGTACAACTTTTTCAATTTATAAATTTATTAAAATCGAAAACAATTTCGATTATTGTAGTTTCGGGAACAGAAAAAAAATAGTAAGATTGATCTATTCCAAACTTATGTAGGCCCCCAGTTTGAACATACTCAATTATGTACTTCCTACAAGAAAATAAAAGAACTTATAAAAAATGCCAGCCTTCAGAAATATCTTCCCCAGATAAATGTTACTCTCTTTCTCTGAAAAGCATATGCAATGGAAAACATTTCATGAAGTCTACATTGTCATCTCTCGATATTTTAATAAGACAACTTTTTTAATAAATTTGTTGGTATTGTTATTGATTTTTTGTCTATTTTTGTTTCGTTTAATTAGCACCTATATAGAAGTGTTGTAGAACTCCCCCGTCAATATAAGCCAAAAGACAAATT